ATAACTGGATATCCATCTGCAAAAAACTGAAACAAGATCCATACCTCACACCATGCACAAAAACTAACTCAAAATGGATCAAAGACCTCAATATAAAATTGATAACGGTGAAGATCATGAAAGAAAAAATAGGGACAACGCTAGGAATCATAATACATAGCATGAACAGAATAGGAACCATAAATAACAACACACAAGCACCAGAAGAGAGACTAGATAACTGGGGACTCCTAAAAATCAAACACTTAAGCTCATCAAAACACTTGACCAGAAGAGTCAAAAGACAACCTACAGACTGGGAAAAAAATTTTGGCTACAGCAAATCCGATCAGTGTCTAATCTGCAAAATCTACAAGACCTGCAAAACCTCAACAAGACAAATAACCCAATTGAAAAATGGGCAAAGGGTATGAACAGGCACTTCGCCAAGGAAGACATTGAGGCAGCTAACAGACACGTGAAGAAATGCCCACGATCATTAGCCATTAGAGAAATGCAAATCAAAACTACAATGAGATACCATCTCACCCCAACGAGGCTAGCATTAATCCAAAAAACAAAATAATAAATGTTGGAGAGGTTTTGGAGAGACTGGAACACCTATACCCTGTTGGTGGGAAAGTAAAATGGCACAACAACTTTGGGAATCGATTTGGCGCTTTCTTAAAAAGCTAGTCATAGAAGTATCATACGATCCAGCAATCCCACTCCTTGGAATATATCCTAGAGAAATAAGAGCCATCACACGAATAGATAAATATGCACACCCATGTTCATTGCAGCACTGTTCACGATAGCAAAAAGATTAAAACAATCTAGGTGCCCATCAATGGATGAATGGATAAACAAATTATGGTATATATTCACCCAAAGGAATACTATGCAACAATAAAGAACAACGATGAACCAGTGAAACATAACATGGAGGAATTTGGAGGGCATTATGCTGAGGGAATTTAGTCAATCACAAAAGGACAAATATTGTATAAGACCACTATTATAAGAACTCAAGAAAAGGTTTAAATGCAAAAGAAAATATTCTTTGATAGTTACGAGGGTGGGGAGGGAGGGTGGGGGTTATTCACTAACTAGACAGTAGACAAGAATTATCTTAGGTGAGGTGAAGGACAGCACACACTACAGGGGAAGTCAGCACAACTGGACTAAACCAAAGCTAAGAAGTTTCCTGAATACAATCAAACACTTTGAGGGACAGAGTAGCAGGGGTGGGGGTCTGGGGACCACTCTTTCAGGGGACATCTAGGTCAACTGGCATAACAAAGTTTATTAAGAAAATGTTCTACATCCTACTTTGGTGAGTGATGTCTGGGGTCTTAGAAGCTAGCAAGCAGCCATCTAAGATGCATCAACTGGTCCCAACCACCTGGCGTAAAGGAGAATGAAGAACACCAAAGACACAAAGTATTAGCCCAATAGAAAGGGCCACATAAACCAGAGACTTCATCAGTCTGAGACCAGAAGACCTAGGTGGTGCCCGACTACCACCAATGACTGCCTTGACAGGGAACACAACAGAAAGTCCCTGATGGAGGAGAAAGGTGGGGTGCAGAACTCAAATTCTATTAAGAAGACCGGACTTAATGGTCTGACTGAGACTGGAGGAACCCTGGAAAGCATGGCCCCCGGACTCTCTGTCAACCCAGAACTAAAACAATTGCCAAGGCCAACTCTTCAGACAAAGATTGGACTGGACTGTGGGACATAAAATGATACTCGTGAAGAGTGTGCTTCTTAGCTCGAAGTAGATACATGAGACTAAACGGGCTGCTTCTGTCTGGAGGTGACATGAGAAGGCAGAGAGTGTTAGGAGCTTATTGAATGGATGCAGGAAATTGGGTGGAAAGGAGGAGTGTTCTGTCGCAATACAGGGGGAGCAATTGGGGTCACATAACTGTGTATGTATGAATTTTTGAATGAGATACTGACTTGAATTGTAAACTTTCACTTAAACTATAAGAATTAAAAAAAAAAAGCACTATCTGAGTTTCAGTTGGTAAACCTCATATAGAGAGCCATTTGATACAGTAGTGCTGCTCCTGGGTAGCTTTCCTATGGGTTTGGGTACAAATACATGAAATGCTGTATATACAAGGAGGGCTATTTCTTCTACCATTGTTTGCCATAGCAAAATAATGGAAACAATCAACGAGGTTCTGGTTAGATATATCCCTAGAACATCTCCCTGCAATCAACGTGGAGAATAAGGTAGCTCCAAGTGTATTGATATGGAACAGTCCTCAATACATTAATTGAAAAAGCAAAACTGCAAAACAGGGTTTGGGTGCCATCATTGTGCAGTATTTCATATGCATATTCTTTAGTATGCCTAGAATATCTTTGGAAGGATACGTAAGAAACTGGTAATTTTTCTGTTGGAGGAGTAACCAGGCTGCTGGAGAATAAAAATGATACTCTCTGGTACCTATTGAATTTTGTACATATATTAGTCAAATTTTAATTTTAAAGCAAGCAAAAAAACAAACACAACAAAACGTGTGCATTCCTTCAGCCGGATGTGAACTCCTTCCTCTTTTGACAAATACATGTGTTGCTGTCATATCCTATTTTTTTAGGTATATTTTCTCCACAATAAAATTGTTAATTCTTCCTGGACAGGAACCTGCATACTTGGGAGCCCAGTAAATATTAGACAGACAAAAAGTGCCCTCTGGGGTGCGCTACCTCTCCCATGGAATTTTATTGGAATCCCATGTGGATCTTGAATCCAGACATGCCCACTATAGGCAACTGTTCAGTGGGACCAGCTGGGTTGGAGAGGATAGGAGTACATCCACATATCTAATCTGGGATGTCTCGCTTGCCAGCCCAGTCAGGGAAGGCGAACTCGCAATCATTCTAATTGTATTCTAATTCAAGCTGAAACCTGGGTTAAGGGAGGCGGTCTCTTTAAGAACTGGTATAGTGGCTCCGCCCTTTAAAGTGATCAGCTGAATCCAAGTCACTTGACTTTCCGGTGCGGGTTCGGAAGCTGTGCTGCATGTGCGGCTGTGGGGAGCCCAGGTGGGCTTGGGGGCGCTGCGCCCCCAGCCCCATGCTTCTCCTGAGCCTGCTTCTGTCTGCAGCCCCGTTTGGTCTGCTGGGAGAGGAGACCCGCCAGGTGAGGGCTCCGTGGCGAGGAGCTGCAGAGGTTTCAGGAAATGCTACCTTTGCGGGGTGGCTGGAACATGGGGCAATTGAGAGGTGGGGGCCTGGCTGCAAAGGGAAGGAGTCTTCCATCTGGGGAGAGGGGAGGTAGCCGGGGTAAAGGAAGAAATTGTGGAGTAGGGTGGATGTGAGGGCTTCCTGTCTTCAAGTGAAGTCTGGGCTCTGACTCAGCTCTGGCTGAACCAGGTCCAGGCCAGTGTTGGATTTTTTCCTTCCTCATAGCTCTGTGCCCTGATCTCCCCCCAGGGTCAGGGCAGTTCTGGCTGTACCCTCAATTCCTCCAACTCACCTCTGCCCCCTCCCCCACGATTCCCCTAGCTCCCTCACCCAAGCCTCTTGCCTAGGTCCCCGAGGTCCCACCCTTCCCCAGCATTTCCCAAGTCCCCCTCCCCCAAGCTTCTTCTTTGCCCTGTGTTTCTACCTGATCCCGTTCCCTCGACCCTCCCTCATTTACACTGCTCCTTGTTCCAGGTATCTCTGGAGGTCATCCCTGGCTGGCTGGGGTCCCCCCAGAACTTGCTACATATCCGGGCAGTGGGCACCAACTCCACGCTGCACTATGTGTGGAGCAGCTTGGGGCCTCCAGCAGTCCTGCTGGTGGCCACCAACACCCCCCACAGCTCCCTGGTGGTCAACTGGAGCTGCCTGCTGTCCCCTGAGCCTGATGAGGGCCTGATGGTACTCCCCAAGGACAGCATCCAGTTTTCTTCTGCCCTTGTCTTTACCAGGGTGAGGAGGTTGGGGGAACCAAGGGGAAGAGTCACAGAGGAGAGGGTTCATCCTAATCTGGGGGAGGAGCTGAAGACTGGGGGTGGGACCAATGAGTGGGGTGGGTGATGCCCCAGGAGAAAGCTGGACCCAGGCTAGTCCAGTCCTGTCCCACCCCTGTCCTCCAGCTGTTTGAGTTTGACAGCACGAATGTGTCCGATGTGGCAGCAAAGTTCCCAGGGAAACCGTATCCCCCGTACCCTTTGGCTGAGTTTTCCTGGAACAATATCACTGACTCATTGGATCCTGCCACCCTGAGCGCCACATTTCGAGGCCACCCCATGCACGACCCTACCAACGCTTTTGCCAACGGCAGCTTGGCCTTCAGGGTAAGGATGTGAGGAATCAGAAGGAATTCAAGGCTTGTTTTCATGATGGGGATGGCCCTCAAGTACAGGCATTCATCTGCTTCCCACATGTCCTATGCCTCCTCCATTCTAGGTCCAGGCCTTTTCAGGATCCGGCCGACCAATCCAACCCCCTCGCCTCCTGCACACAGCAGACACCTGCCAGCTGGAGGTGGCCCTGTGTGGGGCCTCTCCCCGGGGAAACCGCTCCCTGTTTGGGCTGGAGGTAGCCACCTTGAGCCAGGGCCCTGACTGCCCCTCAGTGCAGGAGCAGCTTTCTATTGACGATGAATACACACCTGCTGTCTTCCAGGTCAGGCTTCCAGTGGAGAGGTACATGGGTGGGGAATGTAGGTGGCACCCCATTAGGACCTCGGAGTCATTCAGCCGTTTAACATTCAGCAACGCTTATACAGCTCCTGTAAGTGCTGGGCACTGTGCTAATGAATGTGCCCAGTCTCTGCCCACGGTGGAGGAGACAGGCTGAAGGCAGTGCCGTGTGACTTGTGCTCTGGCAGGTAGGGATCTGCAGAGGCCTCAGAGGAAGGAGCTGAGTGCAGACTTGCAGGATGTCAGAGCTAGAAAGGACTCGGTGTTCATCCAGTCCACCTCCTCCTCTCTACAGAGCAGAGATGAAGCCCTAGCGCACAGCCTGTCGGTTCTAGAACCGGGCCTAGGACTCAGACTCCTGCTTCCCCTAGCACACTGCCTGTTGCTACCAGTGACTGATGGAGATTGGGAGAGGGTAGGGGCAGAAAGGGTCGATCCTCCTCACTCTGCCTTGTCGTCCTCCCTAGTTGGACCAGCTGCTGTGGGATGCCCTCCCCTCAGGCTTCATGCAGTGGCGACCAGTGGCTTTCTCCCAGAAGCAGCGGGGCCGCGAGTCAGCCCTGCCCTGCCAAGTATCCCCACTTCACCCTACCTTGGAATACCCCCTCCCCCAGTCACCCATCGTCCGGGCCTTCTTTGGGTCCCAGACCAACTTCTGTGCCTTCAATCTGACATTTGGGGCTTCCACAGGCCCCGGCTACTGGGACCACTACTACTTCAGCTGGTGAGAGCCAGGGCCTGGGCTGAGGGGTTTGGGGGACTGAGCTGGGGGAGAGCTGAGCCTCTCAGTCCTGTCCTCAGCCTGCTAACTCTCTTTTTCACCCTGCTTGCTCTAGGTCGATGCTGCTGGGCGTAGGCTCTCCTCCGGTGGACACCTTGTCCGCACTAGTCCTGGGCATCATGGCGGTGGCCCTGGGTGCTCCAGGGCTCATGCTGCTAGGGGGAGGCCTGATTCTGCTGCTGCGGCACAAGCGGTACTCAGAGTACCAGCCCATAAATTGAGACCCACTTTTTAGCTGGAAGGACGTCACTGGACCTGCCTTGCTGTGCCTCATGCCTCTGGAGGTTGGAGGGTCGGTGTTCCCAGGCAGGCCTTCTTGCTTTTCTGCAGAACCTCAAAGCCAGGCCTTAACAGTGTGGGGACTCCCAGGTGGGGTTCTTTCATACCCTGGAGAAGAGGCCAGGACAGGGTTATTGCAAGAGGGAGGGTCCCCTTGATGTTGCCCCCCTGCCTCCCTCCCCTCCACCTAATTTCCCCTGGATGGGACTTACAGGCCTAAATGAGAGGCCTTCTAACTGGCTGGCTGCCCTGGAGGTGGTGAAATACATTTTTTTTTTTTTTAATAGAGGTCCAGTCTCAGTATATGAGTGTAATTGGGCTGGTTTGGGCTGGTTCCAGGGAAAGGCAGGCTCAGAGATGGGTGTGGAAGGCACATTTCTATTCAAGGCCCCATTTCCTCACCGGGCCTTGTTCTCCCCCTTTCCATGGGACAGAGGCTCCGACCAGCCACCCTCTACCACATGGAGCTGGGAGGTTTCTGCTGCACAGTCTGAATCAAGGAAGGGATGCTAGAGACTGGGGGACAAATACAAAGGAACAACCAACAAAGACTGTGGTAGTAATTTATTGTCCCCCCCAACACATACACACCCATACTTAAACACTGGGTTAACATCAGCCACCGTGCCTTCCAACCACTCCCCAGCCACCAGATACACCAGCACACACACCACAGTCACTTCTGTGCTCCTGGGAGGCAGATTTCCCTGTCTGCTCCTTTTCCCATGCAAGAGGCGTGACTGGGCAGTTTAGAGGTGGGAAGTCACAGGAGCCTAAGTAGGTCAGAAGGGAGAAGGCAGCAGCTCTGGGCTGGGACAACTAGAACAGTCTTGGCTGAGGCTAAAGGGCCCATGAGGGCTGGTTGTGGAGCATCCCAAACCCAGACCTCTAGGAAAGGTTTCACCAAACTTGAAAGTCCTGTCTGATCTCATGTCTAGCCTCTGTTCTCAGACATGGGAAGTATTTCCAGTCTTCTTGAGGCCCTCTGCTTAGACGGCTGCCACAGAAATGGTCAAAGGTGTGGCTGTGGCTCGGCTACCTACTTGGCAGGATCCGCTGGAGGGGTCAGAGTCCAGCATTAGTGAGCTTCGTGTGGCAGTGATGGGAGGCTGCTCAGGAAGAAACCTCCCCGCTCCCGGCGCCCCGTGCCCTCAGCATCCTGAAAGGACATGGTTGGCCATCTCTTTCCCTGCAAGAAAACTAAATCCCTCCCTCATGACTGTGCCTAGCTTCAAAGGTGAAGCGCAGTGCCGGCGGGGGAGAGCAGAGGACGGTGCAGGCTCTGATTGCATGGGACCCCCGTTGGGGCAGTAGCGGGGTTCATCCCTCCGAGGCACCAGGGCTGGGGCAAAGTCCAGGCCCCCTGAACCCGTTCAGAGAAGTGTGCCAAGCCCACCCCGCTAGCCCGGGAGACCAGAGGGCGGAGCGGCTCAGCCCCAGGGGCGGGGCCTGTAGTCTGAGGCGGAGTGGGCGTGGTCCGGGTAGTCCAGGCGGCTCTCGGCGGCAGTGAGCATGCGCTCGGGCTCCACCACGAACATGTAGTACAGGTTCCACACCAGCATGGCCAGCAGCGGCAGGAAAGTTAAGCCATAGCCAAAGCCTCGGAAGGAGCGGCCCACGGCGAAGGTCAGCCAGTATATCAGCCTGCGGAGGCAAGAAAGGGTCGGACTGCCGTATGGATCACAACAGCCCCATCCCGTTGTGCATAGGGTCGCCATGAGTCGGTGGCCCACTGGACATCAGCTAATAACGACAACCACCCTCGAGGGAAGCGCGCGTAGGATGATGGTGGGGAGAACAGATAGTGAAGGAGCCAGATAGGGGGCTGGTGGGTATGGCTGGTATTCTAACAACAGCCAATGTTTATGCACTTACGATGTGCCAGGTACTGTGCTAATTAAGTGCACTATTTAATTTAGACTTATCCACATCTCTATGAAATGAGTATATTTATCTCCCCCTCTTTTATATATTTTTCAAATTTTAATTAAAAAATTTTCACACCTGGAGCAAAGGAGAATGAAGAACACCAAAGACACAAGGAAAATATTAGCTCAAAAGACAAAAGGCGCTACATAAACCAGAGACTCCATCAGGCCGAGACCAGAAGAACTAGATGGTGCCCGGCTACCACCAATGACCGCCCTGACAGGGAACACAACAGAGAATCCCTGACGGAGCAGGAGAAAAGTGGGGTGCAGAACTCAAATTCTAGTAAAAAGACCAGACTTAATGGTCTGACTGAAACTGGAGGGACCCCGGAAGACATGACCCCCGGACTCTCGGTTAGCCCAAAACTAAAACCATTCCTGAGGCCAACTCTTCAGACAAAGATTAGTCTGGACGATGGGACATAAAATGATACTTGTGAAGAGTGTGCTTCTTAACTCAAATAGATACATGAGACTAAATGGGCACCCCCTGTCCAGAGGCGAGATGAGAAGGCAGAGATGGTCAGGAGCTGGTTGAATGGACACGGGAAATCCGGGGTGGAAAGGAGGAATGTGCAGTTACATTACAGGGATAGCACTAGGGTCACATAACAATATGTGTATAAATTTTTGTATGAGAAACTAACCTGAGCTGTAAACATTCACCTAAAGCACAATAATAAAAAAAAATTTTTTTGAGTGGGTAATATACATTCACATGGTTCCAAATTCAAAGGTACCATGAATATAGTACCTTTGCTGACCCCAGCCACCCTAGTCTCTGCCTCTGGTATCCAGTATTATGGTTTCTTGTGCTTCAAGTGATGTTTTATGCACATATGAGCAAAAGGACTTCTGTTTTCCTTTTCTGCCTTTTTGAAGTACGGCAGCATAATATATACACTGTTCTGTGCATTGATTTTTTTCTTTCACTTAACATATTTTGGAGATAATTTTATATCAGTGCATAAACAGCTTTCTCATTCTTTTACATCCACAGTGCATTTCATTATATTTATTTCCTCTTTTGCAGATGAAGAAACTAAGGCTCCAAAGGGGTTAAGTAAGACCGGTCATACATCTGGGAAATAGCAAAGCTGTGATTTGAACCAAGCCTCCTCTCTTTTAAAAGGGCAAAGGAAAAAAGAGGAGAAGCCACCTTCAAGAGGGCTTGAATCCCAGAAGGATGGGTCAGCCGCCAAATTTCCCCTTTTGGAAAAACAAAATACACATCCTTCAGTGGGGGTTGAGGGAGCAGCATCCTCTTAACATACGAAGGACCGACCACTTATTACAAAATTTGACATGTCTCTGCTTTTTCACCTGCAAAAGGGAGGGAAAAGTAACTGCTGTTTCTGGACTGTACCAGGAGGCAGCATTGCATAAGAGTCCACATTTATCAAAGCCTGACCAAGTGCCTGACTGCCGTAAGCACCCTACAGGGGTTAACTCATTCGGTCCTCACAACAACTCCATTTTATAGATGATGGAACAGGCACAAAACACTAAAGCAACCTGCCCGTGGTAGAGAAGAAAGGACCCTGGATAGAAGAGAGAAGGGTCCTGGATTCTGGTCCTATGAAATGAGAGGTGTGGACCAGATAATCGCTAAGTCTTCCTTTAGCTCCCTCATGATTCTTACTGCTTAAGCCTACTTCTCCCTGAGACCAGCATTCCCCAAGAGGGAGATGGGAGGTTGAGTTACATGAGCAGGAACATATTTATCTTGGGAAATATCTACTGGACGCATGATGGGTCAGGAGACTGGGGGGACAGCTGACCACTAGACTACAATCAGAAGTGACAGGAAGGCAAATTTTAGCTTGATATAAGGAAGAATATTTTAGCAGTTAAAGCTACCTGGAAGCCTATATCGAAAGTAACGAGAAGAAACGTATTTAGAGAAAAATGGAAAGACCTGTGTTTGGTTCAGACATTCAAAGGTGCCTTCCAGGTGAACAGTAGTTCACATGGGGAAAACCCCTAAGGATTTCAGGGGACAGCAGACTCTGAATGAAAGGAGAGTATGGAGGCTACCATGAGAGCTAATGTGGCCACGGTTTGCATGAACTTCCAAACCCTTACAGGATCCCCATTGACAGGCAGGAGAATTTCCTGCCCAGAGGAAAGGACCTGGGAAAGTGAAGGGACCTGGGCAATTCGTAAACAGATTGGGTAGCAGGGTGTTGAGCTAGGGGGACTTGAGAGCTGTTATCAAATACCTGTATTTGTTGTTGGCAATTCCAGAGGTCAGGGTCAGGGCAGCAGTTTTCAGCACAATATAAAAACTTTCTAACAATGAACGCATTGCCACCAAGTCAATTCCAACTCATGGCAACTCCATGCATTATTACATAGTAGAACTGAACTCCATGGGATTTTCTTGGCTGTAATCTTTATGGAAGCAGATCACCATGCCTTTCTTTCGTAGTGCCGCTGGGCGGGTTCAAACCACCGACCTTTTGATTAGTAGTCAAGTGCAAATTGTTTGCAACACCCAGGGACTCCTTCTAACAACTGTTGTGTGCTGTCGAGTTGATTCCGACTCATAGAGACCAAGTGTGACAGAGTGGAACTGCCCCATTGGGTTTCCCAGACTGTAATCTTTACAGGAGCAGATCACCAGATCTTTTCTCCCACCGAGCACTGGTGGGTTCGAACCTCCAACCTTTCAGGGAGCAACCGAGCACTTAACCATTGTGCCACCAGAGCTCCTTTCTAACAATTAGTACCTTTAAGAAGTGAAACAGATTGCCTTATAAAGAACTGAGTGCCTTATCTCAGGGGGTGTTCAACAAAAGGCCAAATGGCCACCTGACCAGACTCTCACAGAGGAGTGGCTACGATGGGTGAGAGGTTGATCTAGATGATGCCTGCAGACCCTTCAGGTTCTAGGTTGGTATATATGTCTCTGAAGTCAACTTCCTATAGGAAGACATATGAGCTGATTACCCGCTACCAGGTGAGGGAAGGTGCAAGGGAGAAAGTGGACTCGCCGCTCCAGGATGCACATTTGGGCTGATGTAGAATCAAGAAAGACCCCTGTCCCTGGTTCTCCAGCCATTCAGATGCCTTTGTCCCTCTAGAATCACTGCTGCCACCCCCCCCACCCCATGCTCTACCCCCAGCCCCAACTCACCTGGAGATGGCAAAGAGGCCAGTGAGCAGCGGGAGCAGCTTGAGGGTGTCCTGGGGCAGGTAGGTGGAAAGCACAGCCAGGTTGAAGAAGTAGAGGATGAAGAGTTGCACTGACTGGGCCACATATCTCCGGTGGATCTCCACCTCCCGCCGGGGCTCCTCGAAGGGCCGTAGGGCGGAAAAGCACAGCAGGCTCAGCCCATATACCAAGATCCCTGGGGTGGGGGTGGGGAGCACATAGAGTCAGGAAAGGCTGAAGGAAGGAGCTTTAGGCAGGAAGCTGGGGGCAGGGTTCACAGTGGAGGGCGCAGACCCCAAAGAAGGTAAGTGCAGAAGTTGTACCCAGGGGGGCTGAGATGGTCCTGAGAGGGGTGGACACGCAGGTGGCAGGGCATGGGAGGCCCTGAGGGTCCAGCTCAGTAAAGGGAAACCCTCCTGCTCCCCAAACCAGCAGGCCCTGCCCTCCTCAAGTCTAGTTCCCAGATGTCCCCTTTCTTCTGAAGGGCCCCCGAACTCACCGAGCACGATGGGGAAGGTGGCAAAGACCCCACAGCGCAGCGTGTAGATCAGGCGGGAACTCATGGTGGGCAACCGTGGGGCATCGAAGGGCAGGAAGGCGTATGCCCCGTACAGTAGGCAGGGGAAGAGGATGAGGGCCGCCCCTACTGAGGCCATGGCCCTCAGCCTCTCACGGCCCCCACAGCCCCCGCAGGACCGGCTAGGTGGTCTCACCACTGCCTCAGCCCACTTGCACTCAGGGGGCTCAGGGTGGGTGGCCCGGGTGGGCAGGAAGGCTTGGTGCTCCTCCTCGCCTGACTCACAGCGCACGATGAGGTCCTCCTGGGGCCGGCACTCAATACATTGTAGGTCGATGGGCACAAAGGTGCGGGCCGCCTTCTCAGGCAGCAGGTTCGCATCATCTTCGGGTGACCCCTCTAGCCCAGGGGGTGGCTCTGACTCTATGGGCTCTAGCTCAATGCCCCGCCAGCCAGGGGGGTCCAGGAACGGAGCACTGGGCTGGGGGCTATTCCCCCAGGGCAAGGTGGCAGCTTCACTCACTGTGCTGTCCAGACCATCCACAGTCCCCTCTTCAGCCATGGGAGACCCAACCGAAGACTCCACCCTGTGGGACTCAGCCCCACCTTCCTCTTCTGGCTGCCGGCCATTGGGAAGCAGGTCCTGGGGTAGGCTCTTTTCCAAAGCCTCGGACCCTTTCACTTCCAGCAGGGCTACGGTTTCAGGTTCTGTCATGCTGAGGCCTCAGTTCTGGGGTCTACAATGAGGTCGTGTCACCCTGGAGGGAGCAGAGGAAAGCTCTATCAGAGCCCCTGTCCAATGGCCCTTAGGACAGACTGGCAGAACTGGAACTCTCTAGGGCAGCCCTCTCATGGGCTTGAGCCCCTTCTGGGACCTTAAGGAGAACACGGTGTGGAGGAAGGTGTTGAAACAGAGGGAGGTGGAAGGAAAGTGAGCAGCTGAAATGGAGGCTCCCTTTCAACGTCAAATGCAAACTAGCAGGAGATGGTGAGTCAGGGGGGCAGAGGTCCCGGCAGCTGTGGCCTCAGCCAGCCTACCCACACCTTCTACCCAACTCCACCAAAACCTCTGGGGTCATGGCCACCTTAATCCAGCAATGGGAGAAAGAGGAGGTCTCTAGAACTTTGCCCAGAACTTCTTTCCACCAAGGACCTTCCTGTGACTAGAGAGGCTGCCCCTCCATCTTCCCACCTGCCCTTCTCCCTGCAGACCACCACTTGGAACTGTCCGGGCAGTTGATGCCAGTGATTTGCTGACAAATGTGTCCTAAGGAGCTAGCCGTCCCAGGGCACCCTGCCCCTTCAGCTCCAATCTGGGTATTTGGTCAGTTTCCAAATGCCTCACTAGCCCACCTCATGCACCTCCGCAGGGCTGGGTCTGTCCATTCCTAACTTTCAGGTCTAATCATGGCTGTTTTCCATGCCTCCGCTCCTGCCTTTCTCCCCACCCTGCCATTTGTTCTCCACCCCACTGCTCCCTCCTTCTCCTCAAGGACCCTCCTATACCTCCTCGCAATTTGGACCCATGACACCCTCTTACTTTCCATCTGGAGACAGGTGGAGGGTCCCGGCGTCTGGGAAGGAGCTGCCCAGTTCCCTGCTGGCTCTACAAGTATTTCTGCCCGTCTCTCTCTCTTTACCAGTGTCTCCAAACCTGTCTGACCAGAGCAGGTGGGGCCCAGATTAAAGGCACAGGCCCCGCCCGGCTGAATTGGCCGACAGAAAAAGCATAGAGGAGGGACTTCATTCTTTCTGAAAGTGGGGGTGCAGCTGGGCATAGATATGAGCCCATTTTTTAGGCACATGGGATGTGTAGGGGCTCCCAGCTAGGAAAGCAGAGGAGGGAAAATGACTTTGTATATCCACAAGTACTTGGAATAGGTTGGAATGCCCAGAAAAGAGGAGGAATTTTTACATTTATTCATTCAATAAATAGTTTTTGAACTATTATTAGCTAGGCACTATTCTAGGTACTGACCCAGAAGAGAACAAGGTGACAGGCAAGGTCCTTGTCCTTGAGGAGCTTATGTTCTATCGGGGTGATAGATAATAAAAAAGCCAAGCAACTAAGTCAATAAGACAATCTCAGTAAGGAAAACCTCTTTGACAGGGTGACATGTGAGCCGAGACTTGACGGGAAATCAGGAGTGTGAGCGTTCTAGGCAGAGGAACAGCAAGGGAAAGGCCAACAGGTAGGAAGGACTTAGTTCAGGAGCAGAAGGAATGTTCGGTGGCTGAAGCCAAGAGCATAGTGGTGGAAGGGGAATTATGTTCCTATTACAACCTGTAAACAGGCCCAGGAACACCTTGCTTTTTAACTTATTAAGGTTAAGAGAGCAAAAGGAATCCATGCTAGATAGCAGGTGATCCTTCCAATGTGAGGGAGTGCGAGAGAGGGTGGCTTCTCATTCCTGTACGATCTTATTCCTTAAAGGCATTTGAACGGCAGGCAGAGTCAGTGTCTAGCTTGCTCATCTTTGTGCCCCCAGCACGGTGGCTGGAAGACAGCAAGTATTCAATAAATGTTTGCTGGGCTAGTATGAGAGAGAGATGCAAGGTGGAAATCTTTGGGAGGTGGAGCTGAAGGGCAAGGTGCTTACACAAAAGCCCTGTCTTACCAGGCCTTACTCCTATATGATGCTCGGCCCTTTCCAAGAAAATTTTAACTTTTTAATTTTTTTTAAATTATGGAAAAAAGGGAGAATTGGAGTCACTCTAACCAGTAAGCTGAAAGACGCTGGGCTCAAATGGGGAGGGGGATGAGAAGCAGAAGAATGGACCAAATGACCACTGGGACGCTACTAGCTGTGAGCTCTCCTGCCCGGATCCAGTTTAGCTTCAGCCCCCCTCACTCAGTCCACTGTCCGTTCTCTGGAAGCTTTGTCAATAAAGTTTTTCGCAAGCGCTTGGAGAAGCCGGAAAGAGGCCATGCTGCCCAGAGTTAGTTCTGGCAACTTCCCGGGAGGGAAAACGAGTTTCGCGAGATTTGGCAGCAGCCGGCCACTGGCTTACAACGGTGCGACCGACTGATATCGCGAGATTTGGCAGGCGGAGGAGGAGCTGTCGCGGGCAGCCTCCTTACAGCGATGGCGGCCGAGCAGGGCCGGCGGCGGTGGCGGCTGCGGCTACGGCCGGACACGGCAATGGTGGCGGTGGCGGTGGGTGGTGGGGGCCTGTGACCGGGAGCCATCCCCGGACCCGGGCACGATGAGCCAAGGCCCCCCGACAGGGGAGAGCAGCGAGCCCGAAGCAAAGGTCCTCCACACTAAGCGGCTTTACCGGTGAGAGGGGCTGGGGCGTGAGTGCAGCAGCCGAGGAAAGTCGGGGGACAGCGAGGGGCGGGGTCTCCCGGGCGGGCGGGGGCTAGGTGCCGGGCTGAGGTGCGGGCGAGGGAGGAGGGTGCAATTTTGGAGGGAGCAGGAGGGGCGGGGCTCGGTAACCGGGATGGAGCTGAAGGGAGGAATTGGGTGGGTGGGAGGTTTGGAGGGAAGCACGTGGAGGCATCTCCGCCGCAGTGAACTTGGGGCGGGCACTGAGCTTTGCGGATTTGTCGTCAGAGGATGGGAATTGGGGCTGGAAGGTTTGGGAAGGTGAGGGTGGGGCCACAGATAGAGAAAAACCCGGAAGGGAACGGTGCTTAGAACCCCGTGGGGGGATTCCTGCGAGTAGGGCTTAGCAGGGAAAAGCCTCGGACTCAAGAGAGCCAGGTTCAGGTCATTGCTTTGCCATTTTCTGACTGTGTGACCTTGAGTCTCAGTTTCCTTGTCCTTAAAAGGAGTGATTCAGATTGGATAAGCTCTTGAAGCCATTTATGACCCTAAATTGTTGGGAGTCTGAATGAGAAGCATCTGGAAAGCTAGTTGTGTTGGACAGGAAGGGCTATGAAGGACTTAGGGTTCACGGCGTTCTTTAGATATGGGAGCCCACTTCAGGGCACTTGGGGACTCCTGAGTCCTGCGTTTCTCCCAGCCTCATGACTGCCGTCTCTTGCCAGGCAACTTCCATTCCTGGGTTTCTGATTTCCAGGGCACTACCCACACTCAAGTCTCATTTTCACCCTTCAGCCCTGTTAGGAACAGGCCAGTATGACCTTTTCCCACCTTGGGTTGAGGATTTGGGGGGCAAAAGAGCTGGAACATGGGCCCCAGAACTGGATCAGAATAGGATGAAGCATAGAGAATGAGTTCAGTTTTATGCCCTCGTGAGGGAGAAGAGCTTGGGGTTTTCATTTACCTCAGGCAATATGGAACAGGGGTGTTTGCATGAGGAAACTACCTTCAGAGCCTTGGCCCCCATCTTGGCAGTGAAAGAGTGAAGAGCTTGTTGTCTTTTCTCCCCTGAGCAGGCATCCTGCCTGCTCTGGCTTTGGAAGCCAGAAGGCAGAGGGGAGCATAGGCTGCTCCAAAAATAGAAAAGGGATCCAATCCAGCAGCCCCTGGGCTCCCACTGTGGGCTGCCCCAAGCGGTCCCCAGGGGAGTAAAGAGTTAGCTGGGAGTGGCATGTGTGCCTCGTCATGCTGCCGAGTGTCAGCCCTGCCTGTCAGACAGAGCGTGGGCAGTGTCTGCAACATTCCTTACTAGTCTCCAGCTTTGGGGGATGGCTCCGGTCGTCTTTCTTGTCATTCTCAAATCTAGTTCTTTCTCAAGCCACTACCTTCACAGGTCTCAGCTGACTTAAGCTGGTGTGTTTGTGCATGTGGTATTCCACGTGTGCACGTGAGTGTCTCCACCTGCAGTTGGGTGTTGTTGGCTTTGAGCAGTGTGGAAATTTGACGCAGCCAGTCTCTGTTTTTAGCATTATAGCAAGAGTGATGGGTAGAAGGAAACTGGGAAAGGAAGATCTGACTTCTCTGCCCAAGATAAATGTGTTGTTAGACTGTGAAGCTGCCACTCAAAACTCCAGTAAATGTGGGAAATTCCCACAACCTGTTTATGCAAATAAAATTCTGAAATGTTTTAAGCACTCAGAAGAAAAGGCAACAGAAGAAGGGATCCTAGAGTGGATAAAACCGAAAAACCCCTTGCTGTCAAGTCGTTTCCGATTCATAGTGACCCTATAGGACAGAGTAGAACTGCCCCATAGGGTTTCCAAGGAGCAGCCTGAGCCCTTAACCACTGCACCACCAGGACTCTGGCATCAATTAATTGATTAGACCAATTGTTTCTTTTTTAAACATTTAAAAAAAAAAATTTTTAACACTGTGCTAGGCCTGGGATTATAGTAGTAAATGAGTCACAAGACTAGTTTCTGATCTAAACAATTTAGTGGAAGGAGCTTGTGGTCTGATGCTGAGTGGGGAAAGAGTGCTGAGCCCTCTCACATTTGAGAGCTTGCAATTAGAACTTCCTAGAGTAATGATTATTAATCGTTTTTGGATTGAGAATCTAAGGAGAGCTCTGGAGCCTCTCCAGAAACACACACACACACACACAACACCAGCACCTTTGCATGGCATTGAGGTTGAGAAGCCCTGCCCTGGAGACTAAGCTGGCATGGCGGAAATCACTCATGACTGCCCGACGCTGCCCCTGGCATTGAGGGCCAGGCTGGCTAAGAGGGCTTGGCTGCCATCTCTAGGCAGCCCAGAAGGTTTTTGGAGAAATGCTGAGCTCTCAGATTGCCTGTGAGAAGGCGTTGCTTACTGTCCCACCCACTCAGCTGAGCACTGGTGGTCACTTTGTCCATCATAGGACAGCTTTTCGTGGTGTACCACC